ACCTGATGCAGCCCAAATAAATCTAAAAAATAAAAAAGAGCCCGTCAGTTTTCCCACTGGAGTTTAGACAGGCTCACCAAGTTCAATGGTATGGTCTTAGTTACCAGAAACCTGTATTCTAGGGTCTTTATCAAAGTCCTTTCCATGAACTTTTTAAAGATGAAGGATTTTTGTCTGCAGTTGAGTGTAAACGCTTTCAGGGAAGATCAGTGAAACAGTAACCCTCTGTAAATGGCTAAAGACTGAAAAATAACCATGGTCAAAGATCTGATGAGTTTATTGCCAAAATTATACAATTATGGAAATTTGTTTTTTTCTGTTGCATATAACAATTTGTGATGGTAATTGGAATTATGACTAACATACAGTCATTGTGAGGACATTGAAAAATTTCTAGGCATTTTATATAACTTTGGAAGCTTACATATAAGTAATATATATCCATATAATATAATTTAGGGAAGAGTTACCACCAGTTTTTATTTGACAATGTTTTCTATGTAACTTAACTTATCAAATAAGCCTAGTTAGTTTAATATCTCTGTTTTTATAAGGTGAGATAACAAACCTTTTGAGATTCTCTAGGGTTCCTTGAAAATCCCAAAGTTAGAGGTCAAAGAGACCCTATTTCATGTTTGATTTTGGAAAGTTTGTAAAAAATGTCAAAGCGTTGAAAATATGAAATATTGCAGGTCATTGTGAAACAATATTTAGCCATTGAACCAAAGTGATAAAGATTCTAAAGGCAAATATAGGAAGTCACATATTTGAGGAAAAAGAAAACTTAGTTCTTTCAATATTGAGAAGACTTACTTTTTCTAAGTAATCAAACACCCGATAAAGACAGCATGAGGCTCAGGAAGGTGTTTGGACAAGACGCAGAATCTTTGTTTTGTAGGCAGGTTACTTAGAAGGTAGAGAAAAACCTTCTCAGATCTGTTTTTGATTAACATCCTCTTTGTGTCCTCCTATGGGAAGACTAGATTTAATCTTTGCAGTATCATGGCTATTCCTTGGACTAGAAAAATAAGCACTTACATAAATTATTTGTCAAACTCTCAGAAATATAGAAAGCGATCCAAACGTTTTTCGAGCTCATGTGGCCTGGGATGATCTTTGGCAAGTAAACGCTAAGCCTTTTTTAAGTGTATGCATCTGTTTCACTTCTGACTGTGCCGGGTCTTCACTGCTGGGTGAGCCTTGCCCTGGTTGTGAGAGCCGGGCTGCTCTAGTTTTGGGGCGTGGGCTCTCGATGAGGTGGCTTTTCTTGTTGTGGAGCACAGGCTTCAGGGCACACGGGCGTCGTCGCTGTGGCTCGCTGGCCTCAGAGTGCATGCTCAGTCATTGTGGCCCACAGCTTAGCTGACCTGCAGCGTGTGGAATCTTCCGGACCAGGGATTGAACCGCTGGCCCTCACATTGCAAGGCAGATTTCTTAACCAGTGGACCACCAGGGAAGCCCAGTTCAGTTCAGTCGCTCAGCTGTGTCCGACTCTTTGTGATCCCATGGACTGCAATACGCCAGGCCTTCCTGTCCATCACCAACTCCCGGAGCTTACTCAAACTCATGTCCATCGAGTCAGTGATGCCATCCAACCATCTCATCCTCTGTCGTCCCCTTCTCTTCCTGCCTTCAATCTTTCCCAGCATCAGGGTCTTTTCCAGTGAGTCAGCTCTTCACACCAGGTGGCCAAAGTATTGGAGTTTCAGCTTCAACATCAGTCCTTCCAAAGAATACTCAAGACTGATCTCCTCTAGGATTGACTGGTTTGACCTCCTTGCAGTCCAGGGGACTCTCAAGAGTCTTCTCCAATACCATAGTTCAAAAGCATCAATTCTTCGGCACTCAACCGGGGAAGCCCAGTAAAAGCAAAATCTTTAAATGGATATCTCCTCTAATGTGACTCTAAACCAGTGAGCTTAAAACCCACCAGCCTTTTGTGACTTCACCATGGGCCCCAGAGAGGGCACAGGAGATGCAGGCCTCCCCGAGATCTAGGGGATCTAGATCTAGATCTAGGGGATCTAGATCTAGATCTAGGGGATATTCTCCCAGGTCAGCCCAGGAGAGAAGAGGCCGCCGGGTCACAGGGAGTCAAAGGCAATCCAGCCTGTCCTGACTCTGTGCTCCTGGACAGGCCATGCTAGAGGGCTCCCAGCTCAAGCAAGGGTGAGGGGCAACTGCGCAGGCCGAGTGGCCCCAGGTGAGCCGTGTCACACAGAGCTGGGGCAGCACGGGCGTTCCGGGCTGCTGTGCGTCGGCGGACGGCCCGCGGGCTCCCAGCACCAACCCCCAGGGAGAGCCACGTTCACAGACCAGCTCTGACTCGTGTCTTCCTCCCAGTAGGCTGTGCCTGGACGGCAAGAGCCAGGAAACGCCCTGCCTTCCCCTCCCGAGGGCTCCCCACGGAGACCCCGCCGCTCCGGGCAGCTCCCGCACCCCCTCTGCAGGCTTCCCTGCTCTCACGGTCCTTTTGTGCTCTCCAGAAACCCCCAGGGAGGCAAGATCTGACCTCTGCACTCTTGGGGTTTAGCTAGAATTCAAGATGAGCTGAGAACATTCCAGAACACAGAGCCCAGACTCAGGAGGCCTGGGTCCCTCTCACGCTCCATCACTCCATCCGTCCTGGCTTGCCTCTGGCTCGGAGGAGCCCTGAGCTGCAGGGCTGGGACCCTGGGCGCGGACCGTGCTTGGCCTAGCCCCCGGCATCCCTCCTGGGGAGAAGACGGCGTGTCACAGCCCCGGGCAAGAAGCTGAGTATCCCAGACCCCGACCTCCCCAGAGCTGAGCATCAAGGCCCTGACGTGGGAGCCTCGGGTGTGCGCGGGGCTGCCAGATGGGAGGAGAGGACTCCTGGCCCAGCACGGGGTGCTGAGTCGCCACCGCAGGCACCGGTTTCTCCTCCTCCCCATGCTGAGAGCGTGGGCTGCTCTGGGGACGCCCGCCACACCGCCCGGGGACGACGGACAGCAGCTCTTCCTGAACCTAACGGAGCCTCAGCCGAAGGGCCCCGGAGCTGAACCCAGGGCGGGGGTCAGCTGCCGTTCACGCCGTTTACCCTTGTTTTCAATTTCGAACGTTCCAACTGGCTTTCAAAGCAACCGTGTTAAAAGCCATCTGGAAAATGCTGCAAGTTAGGGAAAAAAGTCGCCATCCCTAGACGGCGCCCTTCCTGGGCTGCCTCCGGCCCCTCCCTCGTGGCAGCCCCAGGCACCTACCGCCGCCTCCTGCTCTCGGGGCAGGCCTGGTGCTCAGCACACACACCTTCCGGCCCCGTGGTGCGCAGGGCCCCTCGCCGGGCAGGGCCGAGGATGCTGAGGCCAAGAGCAGCCCAGCGACGCCCTCTGGGTCCACAGACCTCAGACCCCAGAGGGCCCCTTCAGTCCCCAGGCCCCCGGTGGGCAGCTGGGGGCTCTCTGGTCCCAGCACCTCACTGCACCTGAACGATCGGTCTGAGCAGCGGGTCCGGGGCCATGAGCCCCGCTGGATGAAGGAGGTGCCGCCTGGCCGCACCCGCAGCCCTCGGGCGCAGTGTCCAGCGAGCAGTGGCGTGGCTGGGTGTGTGATCAGGAGCCAGCTGGCGGCCAAAGCAGGGCCTGATGTTATTCTAGGATGCGGTGTTTCTGCGTCCGTCTGGGAGGGAGCCGGGACCTGGCCTCTAAGTATCAGGATCTCACTTGAGTTTCTGGCTCACATCAGCACCGCAGGCCCATTCTCGCGCCCTGGTCAGCAGCCTGCGGAGGCAGCGCCTGTCCGCCAGGGCTCCCAGCTCCAGGCCGAGGGTGGGATGGGCTGGAGTTTCTCACTTGAAAGGGCTCGGGGCCTTTCCCTGCAGCTGGGGTGGGGCAGCTCTTTTGGCTGCCCGGGGGAATCACCAGGAGTGTGGACACCGGCTCCAGGGTTAGCTCTAGCCTTCAGAGCTCCCAGGGGTTCGGCCAGGCTGACGGTCACGGCATGGGCCTTGGTCCGCTGAAGCTCTGGCGTCCCTCTCCCATGACCTCGGCCAGGAGCCCCCGTTAGCAGCCCACCTGCCCCTCTGGTGATCTGGCCTCCAGTGGGTGTGGCTGCACTCTATCCAACACAGTCATGGAACCACAAGGGCCAGGTCCCTGTGTGCTGTCTGACAGTCTGCGTTCCTGGGTGACATTCTCAGGCCGGGCTGGGAACACGGAGACCCGGAGAAGAAAGCACTTGAGGTGAGGCCCATGCTGTCCCCGGGCAGATCCAGGTGGGCGTCACCATGCCAGGGCCGCCTCCGGAGAGAACGCCCCAGCTCTCCCAAGGGCCACTTTGCTGAAATGAGAGGAAAGATTCAGAAAGACTCATTGTCCTCAGATGGGTGGCTTGCTGGGTAAGAGGGGCCTTTAGGAGCCTTGGGGTATGGCCACCTGCCTCGGCTTCTCTCCCGGTCTGGGTTCTGGCAGGGCCCGGAAGGTTCGGTGACCGGCTGTCCATCGGCCCACAGCAGCCCTGGCTGCTTGGAAGGCAGTGTTTTGTGGCAGAGTGGATAGCTCTGTCTGGTAACCCGCCCCTGTCTGGGTCCCTCAGGGCGCCTGGAGCACTGGGTGGCCACATTCACGTCCAGCTGCTGCTATAACAAGTGACCACATGCTGAGTGGCTCAAGACAGCACACATTTATTCTTGCGTTGCTGAGGGCCAGAGTCCTGGCCTCAGTTTACCTGGGCTGAATCAAGGGCCCTGCAGGACTGTGCTCCCTCGGAGGCTGGAGGGGCGAGTCCGTCCCTCTCGCCCCCACCCCTACGTCCCCGAGCTGCAGCCCCTCCAGGCATCACGTTTCCTTCTGCGTGGACCGGATCGTGTCCCCAGATGCACGTGCTGCAGCCCGGCCCCCAGGGCGAGGGGCTTTGTGACGGACCGGGTGCTCAGCTGCAGTCTGCACAGGAGACGCGGCCCTCCAAAGACAGAGAATCCGGCGGTTTCCATCACACCTGCCGCGCTGCTGCCCCGGCGGCAGGGCTGACGTGCCCTCTGCCCCCAGGTGTGCATCGTGCAGAAGCGGGACACAGAGAAGATGTACGCCATGAAGTACATGAACAAGCAGCAGTGCATCGAGCGCGATGAGGTCCGAAATGTGTTCCGGGAGCTGGAGATCCTGCAGGAGATTGAGCACGTCTTCCTGGTGAACCTCTGGTGAGTGGGCCAGGGGCGCCCCCTCTCCTGCCCCAGGTGCCTTCCCCCCACCCTTCCCCCTCACAGTGCCCCCAGGGCCAGCAGCTGTCCAAGTGTCCACATGCACACACACACACGCATGCATGGACCACCACCATCATCATCACCATCACCACCATCACCACCATCACTATCACCACCACCACCATCACCATCACCATCACCACCACCATCACCATCACCATCACCACCACCACCACCACCACCACCATCACCATCATCACCACCACCATCACCATCA